TGGGTTGCTCGTGGGTTTAGTGTAGGTATTAGTTCCAAGCATTTTTTTTAGGATTATCACTGAGGTAAGCTCTTCTAATCTCATTCTTACCCTCCAATCTCTTCTTTAAGCTAGTTTTTGTAGAGTTTATGGTTAGAGTTTTCGTTTTTGGAGATACTCAACCATTAGGTCTAAATTTTATGGCAATTTTAAAGTTAAATAGGTGTTATTTATATTGTTTTGGTGGTGATTATGATAATAAGGAGCTTAAATCTAAAACTCTAGTTAGACCAAGTTGATGAATTTTTATGATGATTTGAGATTGTGAAAGCTAAATAGGTGATATGTAAATGTAATGATGATTATGATGATTAAGTTTAAAGGTTTAGATAGATTTAACAGTATTGGCTAAATAATGACATGTACATATTATTGACTTGACAAGGTGAAAAATCATGCATGAACTTGAATTTAGCAGTGTTGGCTAAAGAAAAATTATGATTATGATTTTTGTATATATCACTTTCAAATATTTAGCATATTTTATGTGATTTAATGATGAATCAATTAGTTCTATTCTTACAATTCATAAGGCCAACTTGTTCTTTATTAGGCTTTGGAGCCTTTGAGGTAGGGCTAAGCAAACAACCCATGACTTGGTATACTTGCCAAAACCCTATCAAAACGAGCGAGTAAACAAAAAAAAATGTGTAGGCCACTTATACGAGCTAGCTCATTAACAAGATGAATGTGCGGCACAAGCTACAAGTTACCCCTCAAGCTAGCCTGTCCCGACTTGTATATGATTAATTTAAAAAATTGAAAAAAAATATCATACACGTGAGTAAACCTTCAAAGCAAAATAAGTAAAATAATTTAATTTCAATTCTCAAACTCTCTTAGCCAATCTAGCACGCAAGATTTGACACTAGGTGCCTCACTCTTGCACACATTTTGAATTCCAAGAATTGATTAGGCATAGCAATCTGCTATCTTCATCCCCTTCCTTCTCCCTTGTGTCAACCAGTGTAGAGAATAGAGATCTAATCAGTTGCCCTTTGCCCTCATCCCTCGACATGTAACGCCTCCCCTCAATGCCATAGTTGCTCTACTCCTTCCTTAAGGGATCTCAAACTCAAACGGAGTTTGATCTCAAGACAAAATCTCCTCTTCTTTTACAAACTATAAAGCCTTGTGCTGCATCCTTCCACTCCAGATCTAGAGTCCAAATTTAGAGAGTTAACCTTATCACCACCTCAAACTCATAGAATCACCATTGCAACTGCCTCACTCCTGAAGTCACCATCATTCCCTCTCCCATCACTTACCATCGACGCCGTGTAGCTCATCACGTTTGTTCTTAATCAACTTATTATTTATCTCTCTTATTGCTTAAGCTTTGTTCTAGATCTGTAAATTTTATTGAATGTATTCTAGATCTCTCCTGTTGCTTTGTTTTAGATTTGTAAATTTATTGGTTGTGATATGGATCTAAAACTCGATTTATCCTCTTCTTGATTTTATCTTTTTATTTCTTATGTAAATTTATGGTCTTACAAGTGAAATCAGGCTAGCCCATACCTGGTCTAACACAGCTCATTTTTAAACGGGTAATGACAGGCTAACTATGGGCACGGGCTATAGGTAGCCCTTCAGGCTAGCCCATCCTATAAAATATGCTTACTTAAACTCCATTAACTACCAAATTCATAGCAATTAAGAGTCTAAATTCAATAAGGATTACTAAGTTTATCAAATTTACACAAAACGGGATCTCAAGTTTTTATAATGTAAAATACTCCCGTAAATCATCAAACATTCACAAATTAGAGTTTAAAACTTATGCAAAAGCATAAGAATTGAGAGAATCAAAACATTTGCATATTAACTTCAAAATAATGAACTGTGTAAAAAAATAGCACATATGTTGAGGCTAACTATAGGTGTGCCATGGTATGCCCACCTCTGTGCCATGCACCGTGACGTGAAGGGCCATGCGCCACGACACATTGCATGAATTTAATAGGAAATTGTGTTGTTATATGATAGCACTCAGGATGAACTTTTAACACATCCTAATTCTTCATCTGATGTCTGATTGAGGTAATCTAGGTGTCTATAGAGAGCTTTCTCCTAGCTCTAGCTAATAGCATAAGTTTTACAATCAAATCATTTTTTATAAAAAGTTAGACACCCAATACAAATCTTACTTCTTTTTCACATTAACTTATATTTTAGTTGTCCAAACTCCAATCAATGTGCCAAAAGCCTATACTAATCTTTAGACCATATTCAATGAACTATTTTGGACTCGTGCAACAGACCATGACTAAATCAACATGCATATATCATAAATTCACTACTTAACTCCTTAGATTCTCAAAAACAAGAAGGGGGTGATAACTTTCATAAACACATTAATATCCATCCAAAAACAACTCAATTACACTTTACCTTATTTACACTAGTATTTCGATTCTATTTAAACTTTACAACTATATATCACTAGTTTAGGGCATGAAATACACAAAATCAGTTATAATGTAAGTAGACAAAATAATAGAATAAAATTCTAGTTGATAAATTAACAATATTTAATACACATAATTTAAACTAAAAGGCCTATAAGTAAGACTTACTCAAAATCTTATGCCTCTAGTCATTTTTCCCGATCTTGATTCGATGAACTATGCCCTGAAATATTGAATAATGGAGTGAGTACAACTACTCAGTAACTAAGGTTAATCTAGTTTATATAGTTGCATATCAATTAATTATAGATGCAAAAGGCAATAAACTCAATCTCTTTTTACACAAAATCACATATAGCCTCGGCCATAAAAATAATAATCATGTGATAGGCCATGCAGCTCATGTCATTAGGTATTGCAATTATACATATCTTGGGATTGCAAAAATAACAACCACGTACCCTTAAAACACGGTGAACCATAATAACAACAACTATATAGCCGGAACTAAATGTATGATTAATGCCAACCTTATACTCTCTTGATACCTCCGACATAAAATCTGTGACTATTAAGTGGCTACATTCGTAACTCATATTATATTCCTGTAGCTATATCCGCAACTCACATTAACCACATCATATTACGTTCCCATAATTCTCTTTCTCTAATATACTCTATATATCAATATCACATAAGAACATATTCTCAATCATCATCATCATTTATCACATATGTATAAATATACATTTTGCTTTTAATAATTTATCACAGCTTCAAACAATGTCAAATTTGTATCAATGGGTTTTCAAAACACCATACAAGTTTCAAATAATTAAATTCAACAAATAATTAATTAATAAACAATTATACAAACTAGATATTCCTCCAATTATCTCAAACTTTTAAGAGATTAAAAATTTATCTTTCAAAATGCTAACTTCTAAAGCTCCTTTTTAAGCTTGAATGGTGCCAAAACTAGACAATCTATAACCAATCACAAGGACATTTATTAACATCCCCTTTTTGAGTAATTTCTAATTTTATAACTCCTCATTCTCCCTTTCATCAAAGTTATAAACTCACTCCCAATTACACCCATTAGGTTTATTAAGTTTCAATGACCCACATTATCATTATTAAGCTAACAATCACCATTAATAACAATAAAACACTCCCAACAACCTTACTTATTGCCATTTTTAAATATTAATGGCCCCTAACAATCAACAATTCAAAAAATCATAGATGTGAGGTTTAAATACTTTAAGCCACTCCCATTATTCATGTCTTAGCCATTAGATTCAGACCCATGACTCATATAAATTGAAAATCATTATTTTAACTCAAACCCTAGCTTAAATCCTCATAAAATGAAAGGAAAGGGAAGAGAGAAGCATAATGCATTTACCTTTAGTGTTAGGAAGCCCAAAATGTCTCCAAGGTTCCCTAAATTTGTGCCTTAGTAGAGCCAACATCTTGCCTTTCATTTCCTTCTTTTTCTCTCCTCTAGTTTTAGTTTGTTTCACGACCATAATATTAATAAATTTTGCTCATATGCAGCAGTAGAGGCATCATGTGTCACAGTGCATGGCATAGAGAGGCCAATCCCTTATTGGTTCATGGTGAATCAACCACATGCCATGACACGTGGCACAAAATCACTTCCTTTAATTTTTCACCCCTTTTAATTCTCAATGGTTCATGTTACTTCGAACCTACATTTAGGGCTAAAAATATAACCAAACACACCTTTTAGATCTCTTTGGCCATACACCACATTAATGAACTTAATTTACTCTCATTAAGCTTAATTAATCGAGTTTAAATTTCTAGGATATTACACATCCTACTTGTTGCTTGGCCCTACTTTGAGGAAATTGGACCATTTAGAGTGAACTCTAATAGAAACAAACATGCTTGAAGAAGGTGAAATTCCTGCACACATATGCAAACATTTATATATACTCATGGGTCTTATTTTTGTTTTTCTTTCATTTTCAAGACTTGAAAAATTAATCAACTTCAAATCAATTACATATATGTTCTAGTGCTGATGAATGTATGTGGTGGAAAATGTGCTATTCTTGGAATCACCATCTAAAGTGGTGTATTTTTTTAAATCCATTATTTTGTACTAGTTCAAAACTATTCAATTTAATTTATTGCAAATATATTAATTACTAACTTTGTGATATTGATTATAAAGCAATGAGAACATATCAAAACATGGTCTTTAAAAACATGCATATGAGCTTAAGGATCATATATGGTTTGACCCAAAGGTAAGTGAACCTAACACTTTATAAACTTATTTAATTATTAGGATTTCTTACTGGTTGCTTACGATATGTTCTTATACAGAGCTGTAAACAACCAATAACGGCTAACTTGTGCAGACTTTATGTGATAATTGATGAGATACATGCTCAACACCATCATATTAAGCATGATTCAAATGACAAATAAACATAATTTTGAAAATTTTATTTTATTATGATGTTTAAGATTAGTTAGTTAACATTTTATTAATTGCAAATTATATTTCAGATGTTTGAAAATGTAGATCCATTCCCTGAAAAAGAAATTGAAGACATTCATGTACGTTGGGTAACTTACTTTGCAAAGAGTTTGTGAGCTTAGATATAATTTTAGACCATTTTAATAAGTTTGTTTGTTCTAGACAAGTTTCAGATACCTAGTGAATAGTTTTAGATAGTTAATTGTGACAATTTTAATTGTCACAAATTTTGAATGGATAGTTGATAGTTGATAGTTTTAAATAATTAAAATAGATTGTGTTGTTTGGATGGAAATTTTATATGAATTGTACTAGTTAGCTGATTATCTTTATGTGCAAAATGTATATTATATATATATATATATATATATAATCACTTTTTATATTGGTTATGATGACAACTAATGTAGAAAACCATTGGTTGTGTCTATAACTAAGGTTGAAAGTAGGATATCAGTTTTTTTAAAAAAATATTAGATGACTTTTTACATCAGTTTTAGACTTGATATAGAAAAGCATTTTCTACACTTCTTTGAACAACATTCCCATGTTAACCAATGTAAAAATATTTTTTTAATCATTGTAAAAAATCTTTGGATTAATGAGTAAATAGGACCTTGAACTTTTATTCAAAATCATCATGAACCTTGAACTCTTAAAATATGCAAAATAAACCCTAAATTTTTAAATTTATAACAAAATAAACCCTGACTGTTAACTTTTTTAATATTGTTACTATCCACCCGGGTATTATAACAGTCAAGGTTAAATTTGTAGGAAAATGAACCATAAACAGTGCCTGCATGAATAATAATGGTGTTAAAAAGTTAACGGTCAGAGTTTATTTTACAATGAATATAAATGTTTAGGGTTTATTTTGCATAATTTAAGAGTTCAAGGTCCAAAGTAATTTTTAAGTAATAGTTTAGGATCTTATTTGTTCATTAACCCAAAATCTTTTAATTTTTATTATATCAAATAGAATAAACCTTTTAAATCATTTCCAAAAAAAGATAAGTCAAATATTGAGAGAAGGTGATATCTATTCACCAATTTTTTTCCTTTTTTTTACCCCACACCAAACAATGTCTGAACAGGCATCATACAACTTAAACAAAATGTTTATACACGAGAACACTAAAGAAATCCAATATCCATGCATCATTGTTAAATTTCATCCCGTTCCCCTACAGAGCAATTCATGAACAAAATGCGTAACATTTTATGAGGAAAAAAATAATGTATATATGCACATGACAAAAGTTAATAACGTACCTTTTAATACCTTCGAAAGAACGAGGCCTAAATTCTGAGAAAGGCACCATCCATTTAATATTTTTTAATCCTTCTTACTAAACAATGCATGATGATGAGCCAAATAGCAACTTAACACGGACAGATTGATCTGGGGCCAAGGGGGGTCGATTGTCACAAAACTCAAATACTTTAAAAAAGATTGAAAGTTTTAGTTGTAAAAATCCTTAAAATAGGCTTTTGGCCTCCACACTTTACGTTTTATTTTCAATTTAAACCCCCCCCCCCCCAATTCATTACCTCTTAATCTATCGTTGCTTTAAAAAAAATAAAAAATACCATCAAAATCCCTTTGAGGGAGGATAATCCAAATATTTAGAAAAGACGATTTCAAATGTTTCTTTTGAGAGAGCAACATGAACAATACAAAAACAATAGAAATCTATTCATGCTAGTGAAAAATTGCAAATAAATAAGAAAAACAAACATATAGTTTTCCCCCTCTTTTGTGAATATTGATAACTTTTTAGGAGCTATATTGAGTCCTTGTTAATCTAAAGGATTGACCTTTTTCAGCGATAATTTTCTTCAACCATACAACTTTTGAACTTAAATATTGTTGAAAGTGACCATTGAACACAAACCACTCGGAGCCAAACTGTATTACCTTGTTACTAAGTCGTTAATTCTTATTTACATTATTAGGTCAAAGTATATCATATATTTGAAATCCAAAATGCACAAGAGAACAAACTCAATGACTAAAAACAATAATTGTCATTGCCAAATAATTAAGTACTTCAATAAAAATAAATTGAAAAAAAAATATGGTCAACTATAACATTTTTTCTAGGACCTTAAACCACTAGAGATTTAAAAACTAACTTAAAGCTTAAGTGACAAATCAAGACCCGAAGAATCAAGATCATCATCCTCCTCTTTGGAAGCTTCTTCTGGTATGAACTTGACATGTGGATCACCACTAATATTAGCAGTAATAGTAGTAGTAGTAGCTGAAAAAGAAGAATTATGTCCAAATTGATGATGAGTTGGAGGACTAATTTCACTAATTTCTTCAATCCTCAAAGTTCCAGGACTTGCCCTAATACCAAACCGATCTAGGGTTTGATGATCATGCCTAAACTTAAAATTAGGGTTATAAGAAGGTTTGTGAATCATGGAGTCCACTCTAACCCCAAGCGGCCTATTATAATTGAACAAAGGCCTATTAATCAGGGGATTAGGATGATGATAAGGGTAATTACCATAGTAAGGATGGTTTGGAGGATAATAGGGATGCCCTAAATAACCAAAATGATGATCAGAAACAATCCCTGCTTGTCGTCGTTTTGCAATTGCACGCTCTTGTTTGTGTGCGTTTTGATGGCCTCCTAGGGCTTGTGACGAAGAAAACTCTCTTTTGCAGAAGTTGCAACAAAAAGTCCTTTCTGTAGTATTGTTCTTCTCATGATCATCAAGATAATCATGTTCATGATCTTTTCCATTATTGTTATTTGTTTTAGACGAGGAACCAATGATGTTCACTTCAGATTTGAAGAAATCCAGCTCAACCTTCGATTTACGAACAGAACCATCGTTGCTGCTGTTAATCTTCATGGAATATATATATCAAGCAACAGAAGAGAAATAATTAGTTCATTGAATTAGTGACAATATGTGATAATTTAAATTTATAAATTACTCTTTCTTTGTCCTGAAATAAATTGACTTGGAAGGAACATGGTAGAAAAATTTAACTTATCTATTTTTCTCATTGTTAGACTATACAATTACACTATCAAATCCTCTACAGATATGGATTTTTATAGACTCCGAGAGAGAAATAGCACGAGTTGAGACCTAAACAATTACAAAAGTGACTGCTTATAGCATATGCAAGAAGAGATAATTTTTTTTTTAAAAAAATAGAGGATGATTGTAGAAAGAGAGAGAAAATAATAAACACAATATATACTCAGGACCTTCTCTGTATTAGTCTTTCTCTCTGAATATATGATTATAACAAATGTAATCTTCAACTTCAATTCAAAAAAATAAAAATAAAATGATTCAAAAGGAGGATTCCCATTGACGGATTATATTCATTATATTACACATAGCTAAGTAACTGATGATTCGAACCCTTGTGAGTTGTGACAGTAAGATAAAACTCTAAAACTGACTTGGAATCCCTTTGGTCAGAAAATACGAGTTATTGAAACTCAAGTTTCCCTACCATAACCGTAAAAATAATTTTTTAAAAAACTAACTAACAAGAAAATTTAAAAAAAATAACAGAGAGAGAAAGAAAGTTCTATATAAATAAATTTACTCACTTGAACCATCTTCATCTTCTGGTTTTCGATCACTTGATCTCTGGAACATTCTCCTTTGGACCCTCCTGAGATGCTGGAGGCTTCAGAGGGAGAGAGATCCAAACCATTTGCAGCCATGGAAGTAAAACACAAGATAAAAAAGAACTAACTTTTTGAACCCGTGAGACTGAGATTCAAATTAATCAACAAGAAAGAAGGGGGTTTATATATATATATATATATATTCAATTAGAGACTCCTATAGTTAATGCAACATAATCTTGAAAGAATTGGAAAGAAATCTCCTTTTAATTTTGCGGTTATGATTTTTATTAGTAGTGCTGATGAATGATTGATTTGATAACCAAGCTTCCTCAAATTTAATCACACCATTCCATAAATATGTATAAATAAAATTTAATGCTAATTGTTGTAATAGTCGAATCAAATCTTTTATAAAGAACATGAAGGTTTGGTGTTAGTGCATCACGGCTTTTATGCAGTTCGTATATGATTTCAACCTAGAAGTGAAATAGGAAACCGCGAAATAATTACTTATTTGTGTTGGCCCAAAAAAAATTACTTATTTGAATTAATTAATTATTTGATCATATCTTTGAACTTGGCCTTCTGTATAGAAGAAATAACTTAGGCGTGATTGATGGTTTTATTTATGGAAACGAATTGTGATAGCAACTTGTGGGGTTTTAGTCTAATCTTGTTAGAAGATTTGTGGACTATCACTTTTGATCCATCATTTAATTTGTTATCATGCCACATCGATCTCTTAAATGAAGAGAACCTGTTTTGGACGATGGGTAGGATCAAAATAGATGACAGAGATAATATATTCATATGTTAGAAAAATGGACAGGGGAGAGAATAATATTTGCTATGCATAGGTAATGGAATCGAAGTGATCACTTTTTTATTCAAAATTTAAAACTTAAAATGTATGAATATTTTTATTTTATTTTATATCTAATGCGACTTTTCATGTTGCTTTATTATATGTTTATTATTTAGATATGTAATTTTTCATATCAATTCAAACCCATTTAAATTTGTACATTTTAACAATTTTCTTCGATCTCATGTATGGGTTCATTGATTAACTCTATTCTATATTAAGTTGCATGGCAAAACCAATATTAATCTCATTTTCTTAGACTTTAAACGAAGCAGCACAAGCAAGTCCCTAGGCAAAACCAAAGCCAAATCTCTATTTTTCAAGACTTCAAACATATGCACAATTATCAGCTTCTAACGATATCTTTATTCAAGAACAAACAAGATCAATTTTTTGATTCTATTTAAAAGAAACAGAGACCACTCAAAAACAAATGAAATAATAAACCAGCCATGAAAAGTGGAGGACACTTGCACATATCTACGGAGGTGATAATGGATATATTGACAGTGTAATTTATTAATTTTGATTGTGGTGGTTTCTAAAAATTTCTTTTTTAAAAATTGTTACTCTAAATGCTAATAATTCATATGGACTATTCTCTCCTAATAAAAAATTTCAAAATACTCCTCACACTCAATATGTTTTAAGAGAAAATTAATTATTACTGTAAATTAAACATTAAAGATGAATAATGATCAACCATAGTTTTACGAGTACATAGAAGCACTTGGCTGGGTTCCATGTCTCACTTCATTGGATTATACTAATTATATTCTTTCAATTATCTCGTTTTTAATGTCATTGATGTAAGAGATGTCATTTTTTATCTATCTACTTCTATTTCCATATATTTAGGAAGTTTCAAAATTTAAAATCTGTCTAGAAGAAGGTTTGTGTTATATTATTGTTAAAAAGTTTATTGTTGGTGTTATTAGACTTTATGACTTTATACGCAATTATGTTTCTTTCAAATGTGAAGTAATTTAACTACCTTTGTTTCTAGTTATGATTGACATTGTTCTAAAATGTTGCAAGATATTCTAGCTCCTCGTGAACCATGCAAAGATGATTTCTTTTTTTTTTTGTTTTTTTTTTGTGGCTTGCCAAAGTAATGAAACTGCTAACTCTTTAGCACTTGTAGGTTATTAGAGAATGCATCCACTTGGATGGCTTTGTAAAGCTACATTCTCTTTATATGACTTTTTAATTACTTGTTGATTTTAGTGTTTTTGTTTTTGATTATTCTGGTGACTATTGGAACAAAAAAGGCATTAGTTTGAACGCTTTTAATTTGTTTGTTTTTTTACTATATATATTTATTTTTGTGAGTTTTATATGTTAGGTTGTATATAAGTTTTTTTGAATGCTTTTTGACATCGGCTATTAATATGTGTGTGTAATGTTTTTTTTTTTTTGTGATTGATTAAATTCACTCGTTTTTTTAAGGCAAAAAAAAATACCTTTTTGTTTAGGCAAAAATAAAAAACCTACCTTTGTTATGATACTAAAGAAAGTCACAATTTCATTTATCATTTGATAGGTTTAGATAGTTTTTTAAATAAAACAAAATGAGTGGTAGGTGTTTTCAATATTAAATTATTAATCACGCAAGGGGAGTTCGATGTAGTTTTTAAAACAACAATACTATTGTCACTTTTGTACAAGAAGGTTGACAAAAATTATAAAAAAGACATATAATAAAACTCTTAGTTTTTTGAGTTTGCCTGAGTTTTTAATTTAATTTACTTTTAAGTTTAATTTTTATCAATTTAATCTTTTATATTTTCTTAAATTATTATATTAATCATCTAAGTTTTAGAACATAAGTTGACTCTCAAATTAATTTAATATATAAAATATGTTGATGACTTCAAGCTAAAAAAACATGTTGATGACTTGACATTATATATAGCTAAACGAAAATAAATTAATTCTCAAATTATTTTAATTTTATCAATATAATTCTTACACTAATTCTTACACTACATTTTATTCTTTTTTTTTTTAAATTTTCAGGTTTGTTTTTTTCTTCATTAATTTATATGACTATCATGAATAGTCTATTGTTTATGTCAACAAATTGTAACAATATTATTTTATCTATAAATAATATTAAGAATCAAATCAATAACTAAAATAAATTTATAAAATCCAAAACAATAAAATTATACTCGAGGGAGAGGTAAGTTTAAAAATTAAAATTTTTATTATCTATTAAAAAATAAAAAATAATTGTCTCAGGAAAAGTTACGGTATACCCATTTCCATCCTCTTGATTTAAATCCAATTAATTTGCCTCATGAAAATATAATGATGAATTTCATATATCCAAAATGTCTTAATTCTCTTTATCTCTATTGGACCATTTATTAATGGTAGTAGATTTAGATTTTTCAAATTATTTTCAGACTAGACGATACATCATACTTTTTTTTTTAAAAAAAAAAAAAAGAAGTCAATTTTATAAAACAAAGTAAAACGAAAAACGATTGCAACTAAAAGGTCAGTAGTTATGGATAACTGAAGGCCCGGAGAAATGCAAAGAAACAGAAAAAACTCCAACGGAGACAATACTGAAACTAGAGAAATTACATGAGAACAATGAAAAATAAGACTCAAACAAACACAGCACCCTAAGAGCATAAAAGGAGAAAACAGTCAATGACTCAAAAACCAACAAAAAGCCCAAGATATCTTTGAAAGGTGCTGGCAGATGAAAAGAGTAATGGCTGGCACAAAAGTCTTTCTAACTAGCTCTAAAAGCCAGTTGCTGTCGTCTTCGCGAGCAATAGAGAGAGTTGAATCTCAGTCAACTCTATGAAAATTCTCCCGTACGATTTGAAGAACCATAGCAATGCATATAATAGCCACGGCAAGTGACGATAGTTATCAGCCAGAACAAGCCGAATATAACCTAAAGCTTTCACAAGTAAAAGCAACCAAAGAGTCCAAATGGACCGATGCAAGTGCTGCATCCAACTTAAGCTAGCTGATGTTGTTGATAGCCTCAATTTTGAGAAACCTCTGTTCTATTAGCTGAATAATCCATTGACGAAGAAGACAGAGTGAAATAGTGCATCGTTACCCATTCCTACTAAGGTGGCAAAGAAAGGCACCCTGAAATACCCCATGGGGTTTGCAATGCTGATCAGAAGCCAGCAGAGAAATAGAGACGGTGGAGGTTAACAGATAGGTTGATGACAACACGAGCACCAAAACCATATGCAATTCTGGAACCTCTACAGTAAACACTAGAACACCAATTTGGATTCAAGAAGCCAAATACAGGCACAAAAGCAATCAACATCCAAGAACTCCTTGCATTATCGTGCAGCAGCATGAAGAAGAAACCTAGTGCTTATGGATCATAAACCTTGAAGTTGGAGTTTGTGATTTTGATTGCCTCGTAATAATAAGAAAAAAAAACAAAAAGAAAAACATAAGACCTAATATACTAGTAGGCAAAAGCAGTTTAGAGACCCTCAGAACTATCATACAGGCTGGCAGAGCTTTTTGGCAGAAGCTCTACAAGAGCCCAAGTCAATAAAGGCATCTGAGTGAGATTCATCGAGCACTCTTTTAACTCCCCTAGCAGTTTGAGCCAATGTTGAGATGATGGTACTGATAAAGCTCAACTCTGGTCCAAACTTACGGGAAATAGATAAAGGACTAATCAAATTCCAGTCTTAAGCAAATTTTCTAGCAGAATTTTGATGAGCTTTTGCTGAATAAAAGAACCCCAGATTTTGGAGGATCCTGATAGTTATGCAATGAATTTCATTTCTCTGGCGTTTACCAAGACACTACCGGGTAAAGTGATGCTCGTAAGTTGAGGCTTCACATAAGAGCTTGGATTGGAAGCATCCTGCACGTCTTGGGACTCAGTCAACTGAATAGTAGAGGAATCATTAAATATGGTTTTCTTCCTCTTTTAAAACTTGTGACAAAAGGATTATCTGTGTCCTCCCCTTTCCTCTTTATACCCAAGGTTTGCAAATGATCTTGCATTTGTGACGCAGGTGATTGTTTTGCATTGATCTTCTTCGGCCAAACTCGGATTCCAGTAACACTGCGTACTAGCTGATATGACCCAGTTCTCCTGTTAAAATGAACATTAATCGAATGAGAACCAAACCTTGACAAATGCAATGAATGAGAAACATACGACCCTAATTGTTGGCAAGTATGATGGACATGACCAATTCCCATACAACTGTAACAAATTCTTCCAACACTTTCCAAAACAATTTCCAATTGAACCAAATCACCAATGGGCAACTTTAGATAAAGAGGAGGCAATGCTTGCAAACTAGACTCTGTCATTAGAATTTGAAATCGCATACAACCATTCCTAAAAATGCATATTTTGTCCAAGCAAATGAGTTGTCCCAAATGCTCTGCTAAAATGGAAGCCATTTCCATATTATAGTAGTCTAGGGGTAAACCATGAACTTGTAGCCATACTGGAAAGGATGAAAGCCATGATGAAGAAAGAGGATTGCTAGGCGACCAATGGGAAAAGGAGATAAAATAACCTTGTAAAAGCCATCAGCCATGAGATATCATAAACTTCAAATCCTCCTCTGACTGAAAATAGAACAGGGAGTAATTTCTAAATTGTTGAGCCATAGATATTTGTCCCTTAAGCTTCCATGATGAACTAAAAATTCCAACTTAGAGGCATGTACTCTGCGATTATCAATCACTCTGGCAAAAGCAAAATGCTGTTCAAAGAAATCATTCCAATAGAGCCAACATAGCTAGCACGAATTGAAGTGTATTGAGCCATATTAACAAGAAAAAGACCAAAAATCACAAAAAGAGGGGGATGATACACAGAGAGAGAAGGGTAGCAACAGAACCACTTTAGATCAACAGCAGCTAGAGGGCAACAGCAACGATCATAGTAAGCGACAACTACAGGACGACAGCGACGAGTGCAGAAGAAGGCAGAGATCGTGAGTGGCAGGACAACCTGTAATTTATTCCAAACAATAGAGAGAAATCTCTCCTTTAACCAGACACAGAAGAAGGGCAACAAGCAACGAAAGCACCGGTGACGAGTGAGGAAGACAACGACTGTGAAGAGCAGTAACGAGCTAGGAAGGTTATGGCAACGCTGCGACGAGCAACAACGGCTACGGTGGCAACAAACTTCTGGAGTTCCAGAAGCGTGAATGAGGAAACACTTTATTCAAGTTTTCCCATGAGTTATTGTATTTTTTTTTATCTTGAAAGGAGAGGTTTCTCTCTCTCTCATGCTTCTGAAACCCGATGCTGCTCATCACAGCACTCAAGAAAAATATTTGAAGAGAAGCTTAATAGATGTTATTTTTCTGCAGAATTTATAATTTGTTTTTCATTGACATGACCAAATTACCCCTGACATAGTTAATTGACTTGTATGATCTTCCTTTCTTCTTCTTCCTCACTCTTCCTTGTCTCTCAACTTCCTCTTTCGATACAAAAATGTAGGCACTTATAAGTAAATCTTTGGAGTTCATGAGTACTTCATGAGGTCATTGCTTGTCCTCTTCATCTTCTTCTATGCTCCATGCATCAAGTCCCCTTAAACAAGGACCATGTCCTATAAAGAAACCAACCCTCACTTAGCAGTCCCTTACGGCCTTCGCTAGGAGATCACGTGCCTCGCCCACCTCATTTTTCTACAACCCCACCACCATCCCACCCACTCTTCCTCCTTAGCGAAGTCCCATCATTGCCTTGCACCCTAAAATAGGTCAGAATCATTGAACCTTTCTGGAAGCCATCACGAACTTCTCCTTCTCTTTTGCCACTGCCATCATCACCCTATGACAATTCTTGTAAAGACTAATCCTGGTCTGCCACCCCCACCACTATCATCCTTACAACAATCCTCACAGGCTTACTAAGCTTACTCCCCCACCAAATCTCGCAAAATTAAGCCCATTCCCATATCGCCACCATCATTAGGTGATAAACCTTATGTGCCTCAGACTACTTTGCTATCACAGCCACATTCACATCCATGCCACCATGATCGGTGAAGTCATCATCATGATGGGTTTCAAGTACTCGACTAGAAGAAAACTAAACCACAAACGTGGTTATTGTTGATGTCTGATATTTTGGCTCATGATAATCATAGATAGGAAGGGTGAGGAAGAAGAATGGAGGAAGATGATGCACGATGGGAAACATGATTGCAAATAAGACTCCTGAGCCTGCAAAAATAAATATAAGAATCTATTGAGTCTTCTCTGCAAGTTTATCTCACTTTTGAGGTCCTGAATGTAATTCTTTTAAAAAATATTTTTTTTTATGGTATGTGGCACAATATTAAACCATTCATCTATATACTAAAATCTCCCCCTTCATTCGCCAAAAAAAAAAAAAGAATCTCCCCCTTCTTCCATTTACACAACAAAAAACCATAATATTTCAATTCTAAGATATTTTTATTAATATATATAAATGATAAATTTGAATAAATAATTAAAAAATTATCATCACTAATTTGTCAAAGGACTCCACTAACTTGAAGGAGGAGGGATGGAGAGGAAGAGAGTTGTAAGAGATTACAAAAATTATAATGATATTATAATTATAATGAAGGATGAACACTAGCCAATCATCAATCACTACACTCATACAATATTAGGAAAAATGATATTCAAAGACCTTATAAAAATATTAATTATAATTAAAAATCCTAAAATTTTAAAATTTCAGAAATAGACTATGGTTCTTGGTTGGAATTAAATTCTTTTAAGCAATACTCATCCTACAAATTTTTAGTGCTCTGTTTTAAAAATTTTGACTACTCATATCTCACTTTTTCAATGCTCATCTATAAATTTTTTTTTGGTAGGCACTCCTTTTTAGTATTTTTTGGTACTCAATTCATCAAGTTTTCAATAGTTATTTTAAATGTTTTCAATACTTATATTTTTATATTTTTAAAACTTATCTTTGATTCTTTTCAATATTAAAAACATAAAAGATGAGCATTGAAAATATCTAAAATGACTGCTATTGAAAAAAATTAAAAATTAAGTATTAAAAATATAGAAGATAATCACTGAAAATATAGAATATAAGCATTGAAAAAAAATTAAGTCAAAGAAAAATTTATGACATGCTTTGCGACAGAGACAAGTGGGGAAAAGAGAAAAGCAAGGGAGAAAAACTTTCCTCCCATTTGGCCAATGAAAGAAAAATAGGAGGTAGGGGAAATTGGAGAGAAATAATATGTAATACGAAGATCCACATATTTTTTTCTCAACTTTTCTTTTCAAGGAGATTTCATGGAGAAAAATTCAACTTCGAATTTACCATGAATATTTTTTTTTATCCCACCTAGCCTTCCTCCATTTTCCTATATTTGGCTAGAGTAAAAAAATTTTAAACTACTGTAGATTTGATAATTTTAAAAATTAAAATTAAAATTAGATAAATTAATTTGTAAGTATATTTTTATTATTTTAATAATATATAATGGAAATTAAATAAATAATACATTAAAACATAAAAATTTTAATGTAAAAATATTTATATATATTTGATTATATGAAATTTACAATTTTTCTTTATTTTTTATTTAGGAGAGAGAATCACATCTTTTCATCCTTCTCTTTCCCCCATTTCGTATTCTCTCTTCTTCTCTCGTTCTAGTAGCATGACCTTTTATCTAAAATTGCAAATTTTCCAGGTTTGAGATTAATTAATTAATGTTGATAAGGAGTGTTTGAACGCGGATCTGATACGGCAATTGACGTTATAAGCAGATTCCCATTAATTTTGGGTTCATTTTTTATTTTTTATTTTTTATTTTTTATTACTCACATGTACTAGTATTTTTTTATAGGAGACAATTATATTAAAAACATGATTAAATACTAAATATAAGCTTATCTCTCAATACAAATTTAAACATTAATTTGTTATATTATGAAGGATTAGTCCCTCCCACAAAATTCAGTTTCAAGTAATTTTTTTAGGAACTTTTAAATTAAACAAAATCCAATGTGAAATGAAAGCAGAATTTTTATTTTTTCTGGTTGAGTGTTACATATATGATGACGTTGGCTAGGGACGACTTTGCTTGTTGCAGCCAAAACTGGCCGAGTTTTGGGTCGCTTCAGTGTGGCTGTGTGCGACTCACAAATTAAATAACAAAATATTATTAAATTAAAAAAAATTTCTATTACTTAAATTATAAGATATTTTTAAATAAAATTTTATATATCAATAAACTTTATAAATTATACTTAAAAATTTTCTATTTTTTAGATAAAAATATAAAGTTTTAAAAATACTCATAATTTAATATATTAAAAAGAGAAGTGATGAAAATTAATTATAAAAAAAGATGATATTAAAATTGATGTATGTAATGAAACCTTAATTTATTAAAAGTATTTTATATTTTAAAATAATTTTTTTAAAAAAATATGTTATAATTTAAGGTGGAAGAAGTATAATATTATTAAAGGAAGACTTGTATAATGACTTGACTTCTCCACTGAGAAGACAAATATAAATTGCGAGGCGACAAGTTCCTCAGTCGTCACAAACGCAAACTTCCGAGGAAGAAGAAAGGTCGCCAGTTCATCATTTCTCTCTGCTTCTTCCATTTCCATATATCACTCAAAATGTCAGCTCTCGTCCTCTTTGCCCTTTTTTCTTTTTCAATGGATGATTAATCGTTCCCCTTTTATTCCTCTTCTATATGCTGTTGACTTTTAAATTTTCTTTTATATATAGATTTCAAGGACATAAATTTAGTTAGGCTTGATCTGGATGGAAAGACAAGTTAGAAGAAAACAAGGAGGAAAGTAAACTCGAAAGATAAATTTTTTTTTACTGTTTTTAAGAATTTTTTTCTTAATCTTTCTTTTTCATTATTTTTCTTCCCATCTAAATAATGGGTTACATATTTCTCATGGTCATAGGAAGAATTGAGAAGTTATCTTCATTCGAGGCCGGATAATTGTTTCGGGCTTTCGGCCGACATCGAGTTTTCTCTATGGAAAATGAAAAACAAGCCTTAATTTATTCTCTTATCAAGTTCTTCTGTTTCCGTAAATAATGTTACTTTATGTTTGAATAGATAAGGATTTGAATTTAGATTTATTTGGTATTTGGATTGGATATATAAAATTCTATAAATTTAAATTTATCTAAATCTAAATCCATATTTTATTATTATTTCTTTTTATTTTTTAAATTCATTTAAATTCTAATCGTTTAAAATTTCAACAATTTTAACTCTCTTGTTTTTGTTACATTTTTCCTATCAGTTTTTTTTATATTATTGCCTCTTCTCTCATCAATCCTTCTCGTCTTTCACCAATGCAATAATAGAGATAAATTATTCATCATTCTGCTTTTATTTTGAAATTCAACCCACATCTTTTATACTTTTAAAACTTCTTACACTATTCAAATATGAGATTTTGAATATATAAATTTTAATTGCAAGACTTTAAATTTAAAATTTGAATTTAAATTGATCAATCCAAATACTATGTTTAAGTTTGATTCCTTTTGTTACTGGGGGAAGCATATTATAACGTGCTCTGTTGTTATTTCAAAATCCGATGATACAGATAATGGGGGAAGCAGCTAACACGACCGAAGGATTCAATAATCACATCACAATCGATGTAAAGAGTCTGTCAAATTCACTGGTACAAAGTCTGGGGGACAAATTGGAGAATCTTTCTCCATTGTCCATTAAGTGCAGCATTTGTAGACTTCCTGTGCAACTCCGAGAACGAAATGAAAAATCCTTCACTCCTCGAGAAATTTCAATCGGTCCACTTCATCACAACAATGAAAACCTCAAACACATGGAACTACACAAATTAAGGTTGCTCAAAGACTTCCTTTCGCGATCAAAGGCAAGCCTATTTGACTGTGTACAGCTTCTAAAGAAGAAAGAACTTCAACTGCGAAACTGTTACGCAGATCCTATTGAATTTGACAGTGACAAGTTCATTGAGATCATTCTGGTGGACGCAGCTTTCATCCTTGAATTACTCTTCAGAAATAATATCTCAGATTTGCAGGATCAGTGTTATTATGATCATTTCTTTTGTGGCCCATGGAAGCTACGGTTCATCAAAACTGATATGCTCTTGCTTGAAAATCAAGTTCCTTTCTTTGTCATCGAGGACCTTCTTTCATTAGTCAGGCTCAGATCAGACATTCCCATAAAGGACGACGTTCGTCGCTCAGCAATCAAGCTAACCTACGAGTTCTTCAAAAGGAAATTGAATTTGTCAGATATGGAAGACTTTGACATTGAGGAAAAAGTTGGTGAACGTGAAATACAACATTTTGTTGATTTTGCCAGAATCTGTTACGTTCCTCAAGAGCTTCCAGGCAAAAACAAACTAAAGTGCACGAGCATGCCCAGCGCAACGAAGTTACACGAAGCTGGAGTGAAGTTCAAGGTCAAGAAAAGTGGGAATCCTTTTGACATCAAATTCAAAGATGGGGTGATGGAAATCTCGCCCCTGAGAATAAAAGATGCGACAGAAATTATTCTGAGGAATATCATAGCATACGAACGTTGTCACTTGCATGATAATTATGTGAATGATTATGTCTTTATCCTAGATCGGCTGGTAGACACAGCGAGAGATGTTGAGATACTGATATATTGTGGGATTATTGAGTCAAAGTTATCAGGAACTCAAGAAGTGGCTTCAACCATCAACAAGCTTTCACCAGGAATAACAATGGCGAGAAGAAGGTTCTACTTCACAGATCTGTGTGAGAAGGTGAATGATTATTACAAAGTGCCATGGCATAAATGGAGAGTAACTTTGAAAGAGGACTATTTTAGCAATCCATGGGCTATTATCTCTGTTGTTGCGGCAATTTCACTTCTGGTACTCACTGTAGTGCAGACTTCTTATGCAGTCATCTCCTACTATTATTAGCTGCGTACTGGGTGCGTGTTGTACGGATGGTTGTGAAAAAAAAAGGAAATTTTTAGTGGCCCTAATTATTAATTTAGTCCCTCAAATTTAAATTTTATCAATTTAATCTCTTAAAATTATTTTGGCTATTGATTTGGTGGGAGTAACACAATTTACTGACATAAATAACAAAATATCAATAACAGTCATGTAAATTAATAAAAAAAGTATAATTATTTACGTAGGAAAAAAATAAAATTTGAAATTAAAAAAATAACGAAACAAAGTGTAAGGGATTATGTTGATCAAAATTAAATTGATTTGAGAGTTAATTTTCCATTTAGTTACACATACATATTGCATATTAAGCTATCAATGTATTTTATACATTAGATTGATTTAAGAATCAATTTATATTTTAAAAGTTAAAGGAGTAACATAATAATTTAAGAAAAGGTAAGGGATAATAAACTCAATGAATTAAATAAATAATTGAGATAAACTTAAGTGGAGTAAAGTTTCATTATCTAAAAAAAATTAATGCAAGTTTGGTGATGCGTGGTTCAGATGTTCAAGTTTGTGAAGACTGGTGATTACTGTGAAGTCCGTAACAACACCAGCCTGCTCACTGGTGCTCTCGGACACCTCTAATGCCTCTATTTTACAGGCGGACCTTCTAATCAATGATTTTATTGGGCCTCAGGCCTACGACCTGTGTAATTTGGGCTTGTCCCACCTCCTTTTTTTTAAAAAAAAAAAGTAGACCAATGAGTACAGTATCTCATTTTATGTGTGTGTAAAATATGTATATTCTATCAAGTGAATGTGGCACAGATGATAGCAATCTGAGCCCCTTAAACATCACTTTAAGTTTTGATTTTTGAAGGTGTGCATAGAAAAATATTACTTGGGGAGAAGACAATCTCTTAACTGGAGCTCTAATTTCTCGGAGAATTAGTCTCACGATTGCCGGCTGTAGGAATATTTTAGGCATTAAAAAAATATGCATATTCCTTTTTTAAACTCATTGTGGTAATTTTTTAAGGGAGAATCAATAAAGACCTTTGGATCAAACTAATTTAAATTTAAAACTCCTAAATGTTTAAAATTTTACCACAATCTAAAATACCAATTTGATATTAAATTTCAAGGCAAAATAATACAATTGCCCTTCATTTAAATTAACATTAAACTATCCTAATTCACTTATTCATTTTACTAAAATGAAATTGAGTGAAACTCTGACAATGGACAAATAAAGTAAGGCAATGAATAACAGTTTGTAAGCAAATGAACAGCATACAATATAGGGACCAACAAATAGTCATCAGATCATTTAAATATCTAAAATAAAAACAAGTTGGGCAATAAATAACATTTTATAAATAAATTAATAAGTAAAGTAGGACAACAAACAAGTGAGGTAAGAAAGTTCTAATATCAATTTAAATAAGGGATAATTTTATTATTTTTTTTAAAATTTAATGTTAAATCAATACCTCTAAGTTGCAATGAAATTTAAAAAATTTTAAGAGTTTTGAATTTAAATAAGTATAATCTAAAGGTTTTCATTGAAATTCTCCCATTTTTCAACGCTGAACAAGAAAAGTAGGTCAAAAATGTTGAATAAGCTAGGTAGTTGCCACCATTGACGACGTTCTCGGTTGCCTGTGCTTGCAACTTGCAAATAACATCATCGGTATCTACCAAAACAAATTATAATATATGAAAGATTCAAGGAAGAACTCTGTCTCAGGCCCAAAAAAAAAAAAATATGGAAGAACTTTGACCTCTTTAGAGATCACAAATTACTACATCGGAGAAGACAAGTTCATCAGAAAATAAAACTTGGTAGGAAGACGAGGAAGGGAAGGCTATCTCATCATTTCTGGTTCTCTAGCTCTATTTCCGAATTCTTCCATATTCACTCAAAATATCATGTAAGCTCTTCACTTTCACCTAATTTTTCTTTTCCTTGCTTCCCAGACTTCGATTTCTGTCCTTCCGTTTTGCTTCTGATATGTCATGTTCTATCAATTCATTATTCTGTTTGCTTTATAAATGTGGTTGTAGTGATCAAACATACGACTTGCTATCTGTATTTGAAAACTCAAACATAAGAGGATGGAGGTGGTAACTGATAGAAATGAAGGATGCGACCATATCAGTATCGATGAGCAAGTGTTATCAAATTCACTTGCAAAACGTTTGAAACACAAATTGGAAAAGCTGTCTCCTTTGTCACCTGAATGCTGTATATATCGAGTTCCTGCAGAACTACGTGTTGGCAATGAAAAATCCTTCAATCCTCAAGTTATTTCAATCGGTCCTCTTCATCACAACAATGACAAGCTCAAAGACATGGAAGAACATAAAATGAGATTCTTGAAAGACTTTCTCTCTCGAGCTCAGGTTGGTGTGGATGACTGTGTCGAACTTTTGAAGAAGAAAGAAGGGCAGTTGCGAAATTGCTATGCAGATCCAATTGAGTTGGATAGTGACAAGTTTATTGAGATCATTCTGATAGATGCAGCTTTTATTGTTGAAGTTTTCCTGAGAAATAGTTCTGGTAACGAGGTTCAGAATCAACATGATCATTTTTTTGGCAGACCATGGAAGCTAAGGTTCATTAAGAATGATATGCTTTTACTGGAAAATCAAGTTCCTTTCTTCATCATTCAGGACATACTTTCACTCACTGGATCATCCATTCCCATAAAGAATGATGTTAGGCTTTCAGCAATCAAGCTGACGTATGAGTTTTTCAAAACAAGAATGTATCTGAAAGATATTGATAATTTCAATGCTGTAGAAAAAGTAGGTCAATCTGAGATACAACACTTCGTTGATTTTGCAAGAATTTGTCACATGCCACAAGAGATGCCCCACAAAAGTAAACTAAAGTCTCTTACTATACCTACTGCAACACAGTTACACCAAGCAGGGGTGAAGTTCAAGGTGAAGCAAAGTAGGGATCTTTTTGATATACAGTTCAAAGATGGGATCTTGGAGATTCCACGCTTGAGAATAAATGATGCTATGGAGAATTTTCTAAGGAATCTCATTGCATATGAAAATTACCATTTGAAAGACAATTATGTGAAAGACTATGTCTTCATCCTCGATCGCCTTATCGACACGGCTGATGATGTAGAAATGCTTGCTCAGAATGGGATTATTGAATCAAAGTTAGCAGGTAATCAAGAGGTTGCTTCTGTCATCAACAAGCTATCTCCAGGAATAACTCTGGTCAGATTCAATTTCTACTTCTCTGATCTGTGCAAGGAGCTGAATGATTACTACAGAGTGCCTTGGCATAAATGGAAGGCAACACTAAAACAGGACTACTTTACTAATCCATGGGCCATTATCTCTGTAATTGCAGCAATTGTTCTTCTTGGACTCACCATAGTGCAAACATTTTATGCAGTGGCCTCTTACAATTAAGTTTGCTTTGATTGTTTGAGAACTTGATGCAAGTTGGTTTTTGAGATGTTAGAGGTTTATGAAGACATATGTAGCTAGATAAATTTATATTTGGATTTTATAAAAATTAGCTGAGCATGGTTGTTGAGAATTTGCCATGTACTGTGCTGTTTTGAGCTTTTGGGATTAATTATTAGTCTTGAGCATTTTTTGTTAATTTCTTAAACTTTTCCGCTCATTTCCTGAGGGTACGTACAATATTTTTTATTAAAAAAAATCTTTAATATTTTCCATATATTTTTTTATGAGATTTAATTATTAAACGATCCATATAGCTTTAAAAAAAAACTTTTAAATTATTATTATTTTCATCCCATGGAAAATATCTAATAATAAGAAAAAACATTATTACATACACAATAAAAAATCAATTTTATCTGCAACTCTAATTAAACTGCAACCATAATAACGCGGAACTAAAAATTGGAAGAAAATGTTATATTCAAGAACAACTAAGCACCACATTCTCGTTGGTTCAGGATGCTTCTGTTTTTTCGCCCAACAAGAAACTACCGAGTGCGAACCTTCTCTTTGTCATCTCATCAATTGCCTCTTTGAGTTTCCCTCCTCATTTCTGCTAGCTTCCGAGTCCTTCGCTTTCCTTCATCCGAATCGTAAGTCAAACTAAATCCTTCTGAATTTCCCTTTCCATTCTCATTTCCCGTTTTCTGATGATGTAATTAGAATCTTTCCCTCCTCGATGACCCCCTTTACCGGGGGCCGAACATATGATTGCCAGAGACCAATTTCTTCTGTACTTCAAAGATGATATCTTAATTTTCAGTTGTCCAGAACCCATTTCTTCTTCTGGGCTTTAGTTAGCGTGTCATACATATTGCTACTGGTCTTTTAGTTGGAATCTCTACTATGAAGCCTTGTAGTAGAATCCTAAGAAGCTGTAAAAGCTCATCGATTTTTGCTTTTTCTCCGACGGAGCTCAATAATTCAGTCGAGGACATGTTGTCCAAATTACATACCAATTCAATACATCACTGTAGATACCATACCCGTGTGATCAGTAAGGATGGGAGAAATTTTAACGTTTCTAGTTCAGATTGGGGTCCATTTAGATTTTTTCGTACCGCCGGAAGTGTTAATATAGGGGGTGGTGGGAGAATTTCATCGATACTGAACGTAGATTCCTATGTTAGATATCATTCTACATCAGTTGATTCTCATGTTAATGAAAGAAACTTCGAGAAAGTTCACATTCAAGGTGGATTGAATGCGAATCCCTTTGTGATTGAAAGAATTGAGACTGATGAAAGTAAATTGGAACAAGTCTCTTTAGAAACAATTAATGGTTCGAATGTAAATATAGATAATCTGAATGGTTTGGATAAGAATAAGGTTGAAAGGGAGGTGTCTGAGATTGAAAAAGAAGCTTGGAAGTTGCTTCGAGGTGCGGTTGTCACATACTGTGGAGATCCAATTGGGACCGTTGCAGCTAATGACCCTGCTGACAAACAGCCACTAAATTATGATCAAGTCTTTATCCGTGATTTTGTTCCATCAGCACTTGCTTTTCTGCTCAATGGCGAAGGGGAGATTGTCAGGAATTTTTTACTTCACACATTACAGTTGCAGGTAAATTGTTTTCCTAATAGCTGCATCAGTTTGTAAGAATTACAGTTCAAATGTATAACTAGTAAGGAAACTTTTTCTTGTCTTCTTCTTCTTGTTCTGTTAAGAATTGCTACTTTTATAGTTTTCCAACGGTGGGATTGTGCAGTTTAGCTTTCTTGCCAGTTGCCAAATTTTTAGGCAGTCTGTTGCTTCATGTTAGGGGCTTATTCGGCTCCTGTATAGAGGATGAACCAAATGTGATGCCTTGGTGTCTTGTTAACATTTCTTATTTTCTCATTTTGAATTGTGATAAGTAAAATCTCATTTTCTTGACTGTTAGTATATTTCTCATTAAATGTCCAACTACCATCATTTCATTAAAAAAAAAAAAAGGTACTATAATTTTTTTTTTTTGCCGAAGTTTTTTCTACTTCCCTTCTTTAGTTGCACAATTTCAATGAAAATGGCATTTTTTAGAGTGCAGTCAGTTAATAAGTGATGAGTGCATAGGACTGAGGGATTGTTATTAGAGGTTCTGTCAATAATGATTGTCAATTATTCTTTAATGGAATTTTAGTTATTGGTTCTTGATGTCCTAACCTTATTTGACAGTTGAATTAAAATTCAATTATTTATGTCTGCCAGAGTTGGGAGAGGACTGTTGACTGCTACAGCCCGGGGCAAGGGTTAATGCCAGCAAGCTTCAAAGTTAGGACCGTGCCTCTTGATGGAAGCAATGAAGCATTTGAGGAAGTTTTGGATCCTGATTTTGGTGAATCAGCTATTGGCCGTGTTGCACCTGTTGATTCTGGTATGTTGAACTTCACTGTGGAAGCTCAGACATTATGGTTTTGTTATAGGGAATGTTCCCGCACGATCATCAGGTTTTGATATCCTCATTAACCAAAATATTATTAATACTGTTCTAAAACACGAAAATTGTATTGTTGATTTTACCTTTGCAAGGTCCTCCTTTTATATCTCCTGTTTATAGTTTGAATTTATAATCCAATATCAAGCTTATAATATTAAAGCCCTATGTATATGTTGGATATTTTGCCCGCAGGATTATGGTGGATTATCTTGTTGAGAGCTTATGGGAAGCTCACTAGTGACTATGCATTGCAAGAGAGGGTGGATGTCCAGACAGGAATAAGGCTGATTCTTAAACTGTGTCTAACTGATGGTTTCGATATGTTTCCTTCTCTTTTAGTTACTGACGGCTCCTGCATGATTGATAGACGTATGGGGATTCACGGTCATCCTCTTGAGATCCAAGTAAGTTAAGAGAGTTCACTGCCTTATCCAAGCAAACGTGGTTGTTTCTATCTTAGACTAGGAATGATAATTAAAGTTAGTAGCCTCCTAAAATTGCCCCCATCAATCTACCACGTTTCATCATTGATTAGACTCTACCCCCCATTTTCCTGTCCAAAATATTAAATCTTGTCTGTCTGAATGCTGCTTCTTTGCTTAAAAGTTTCTCTTCTGGTGGTCTTGAATTTCAAATTTGCAGGCCTTATTTTACTCAGCCTTGCTTTGTTCTCGTGAGATACTTACAGTCACTGATGCAACCGAGAATCTTGTTGCTGCCATAGATAATCGCCTGAGGGCACTCTCCTTTCACATGAGAGAGTATTATTGGGTCGATAAGAAAAAGATTAATGAAATTTATCGTTATAAGACTGAAGAATATTCTACTGATGCCATCAACAAATTTAACATCTATCCTGAGCAAATTCCTTCTTGGCTGGTGGACTGGATCTCTGAGGAAGGTGGCTACTTCATTGGCAATTTGCAGCCTGCTCATATGGATTTTAGGTTTTTTACCCTCGGAAACCTTTGGTCCATTGTTTCTTCTCTAGGCACCACAAAACAGAATGAGGGAATATTGAAATTAATGGAGGCCAAATGGGATGACCTTGTCAGTCAAATGCCTTTTAAGATTTGCTATCCTGCACTCGAGCGTGAGGAGTGGCGTATAATCACTGGCAGTGACCCTAAGAACACGTAAGCTTCTTTGGTTTTATTTATTTGGTTTAGTGTTCTTTCTGAGTGCTTTCTTTCCCTCTGATGAAATCACATACAAATACTGAATAATCGGTGAACTTGATTGCAGCCCTTGGTCATACCACAACGGTGGATCTTGGCCAACACTTCTCTGGCAGGTGAGATAATAGATCTGTACATGCACTTAAATTTTATCCGTGAGTGAAAGAGGAAACAAGTTAACGTATTGTTATATAATTTCCTTTTAATTTTTTATCCTGCCTGTTGGCTTGATGTTTACAAGGCCTTTTGTTTTGAGGACGTGACAAGTCGTTTGTTCTAAATTTCAGTTCACTCTAGCCTGCATCAAGATGGAAAGGCCTGATTTGGCAAATAAGGCTGTTAACTTGGCAGGGGAAAGGCTTTCTGTGGATGGATGGCCAGAGTATTATGATACCCGAAAAGGAAGGTTTATTGGCAAGCAGTCCAGGCTGATGCAAACATGGACTATTGCTGGTTTCCTTACCTCAAAGATGCTCTTACAGGATCCAGAGAAGGCATCCTCGTTGTTTTGGAATGAGGATAATGAACTTCTTCAATCTTGTATCTGCATGCTTAGCAAAGCTGCTAGAAGGAAGTGTTCACGTTTTGCTGCGAGACCACAGATTCTTGTTTAAAAGAGAAGCATATCAAAGTTTCAACCCTCTTCTTTCAGTCTGCCTGGTGGTTCAGTGGCCGACTATGGGCATGCAATGAGATCACTCTTTAGATGAAAGTAATCATTTGAAGGTGACCTCATTCAATAGCAGAATTGGTTCTGAAGAAACCCCATTTTATATAATAAAAAACATTGTTTTCCAATTTAATATGAGCTGCTATCCGTTTAGTGACAACAGCTCATTGTATAATTTTTGTACCGTTAGAAAAGCTTCAAAAAGGTTTGATTAATAAAATAAATTTAGTCAATTGTTAAAAGCCGTATAACTGAGGTGCGTTTTTAATTAAACTTAGATATGACATGTTTGCATGTTATTTTATAATTGATCTTACGGTTCTAGGATGGCCAGAAATCGCATGGTGGGTTGATCATATCTTGTTTGCATTTCAGTATGTTTCTTCAGTGGGCGGGATATAAACAGTAACCCAGCCTACTTCTTTCAAGTTTGATCAGCGATAGGGTTGTTTCCTTTTTACTGCCTGCCAATGTATTATTGGTAGAGTTGGAAATAAAAGTTGAGTTTAAAGAGTCAAGCTTGAAAGCCCTATTTAGATGAGGATTCGAGTTTTGAAAATAATTTTTTTTAAAAGTAATTAAGCTTGAAGGCCTAGTCTTGATAAGCTCAGTAAAAAAAAGTTTGAGTTTGAACAGTCTTTCAAGCCCTATTATATAATAATAATAATAATAATATATTATTATTATTATTATTATTATTATTATTATTTTTAGTGGAATTTGCATTTGAAGTTAAAGATTTGTTCACCTGAAATCCTGATCCTACACACATTATATTATTATTAATTTTAATTTATTTTAAAATTTATTTAATATAATTTAATAAATATTAGTGCACAATATAATTTTTTTGTATTTTTTATTTTTTTATAATTATTATGTTTGTGTATTTATAAGAAATGAATTATTTTTTAATCAAGATTTGAATTTTATTATTAAAATTCTAAATGTATGTTGTTTAATTTTTAAAAGATTATGAGAATTTTAATTTTTTTAATTTCATAATATTTTAATTAATTTGTAATGGTTAATTTTATTTTAATTTTTTTTTAAAATAGGACTTGTAGACTTGATCCTGAACCTTTCAAATTAGGGCCAGGCCTAAAAATAAAGTGAAAAATAGAAAATTGAACTTAAAAAGCTTAGGCTCTCATGGGCTGAATTTATAAAGATTGAGCCCGCTCATTTCTCAACTCTAATATTGGACTTGTAAATTCTGGAAGTAACTACAAAAATTGATACAACTAAACCAATTCTCCTTCATGAGTGATCTACAGAAGTGCTAAACTCGATTGGGTACCACATTAAAAGGCCAGAAACAGTAACCCCCTCTTCCCTTCTTCCTCTTCTTTTATTTATCAAGTTATCTCCCACTCGGCTCAACTTTTCCCCCCTTTCTGGGGCTGACCTGCTCTCAAAACACTCGCAGGAAGCAAGTTTCACATTCATTCTGGTGGTGGGCTATAAGTATAGCCTATCACTGGTCTACTTGCGTACACATCCTGAAAAGGTGAATTCTGTGATCACCAAGCCTGAGAGAGTAAGCAGCTTGCTTGTACTCAGCCCAGGTGAAAGGCCTGTAAAGTGATGGCCTCTGGGTGGTAACCATTTCCGGGAGAGCAGCGATGCAGGCATTTAGAGGTGGAGCCCCAAAAAATGCCATTGACATTCTGGACTTGTCTGAGTTTGTCATAGCCCTGTGCCTTACGCTTACAAATCTGCCATTTGTCATCACCTTCACATGAACAAAACTAGGATCAGTTCCATTAACAATGATCCATCTCGGATCTCAGAAAGCCTGCACTGTCACTAACACATTGTTTTTTACCCGCTTTCTTAAGCAAACGCTAATATCCAAGTGCTTAACTTAAGCAGTACGATATTATATTCAGTTTCATGATATCACATTGATCTGACTGGTTCTGAAATCTGGACAGGTGTATGGACCTACACAGTAAAGTTGAACTGAGAAGCAGCAATCTGGTTGCAGTGATTCCCACTTCATTTGACTTGTCTTGCTGCCAACTATTCTTGCTTTATTTGGGCCTTAGAGTAGGACCCACAGTCACATAATAAGGAAAAAAAACCTAGTACAGTTTTGGTTGTTGCTATGCATGGCCATGAACTGCTAGACATGAATAGACAGATATTGAAAGGAGAAATGAGGTAGGAAGGAAGGGAGGATAGATACCTGCAGAGCATCACCCACATTAACGAAGAAGGCAGAGGGATCAGGAGAGACAGGGAACCAGAGGCCATCGGGGAGGGAGATCTGGAGGCCAGCAACATCGTTGGATCTGAGTAGGGTCAAGATCTGGGGGTCAGAATGCTCTCCAAAGGCAACATTAATGTCCTTGAGAAGGAGAGGCGGATAGTGATTGAACCTGAGGAGAGAGTCACTGTCATGGTGTCTGAGGAAAGAACTGAAAGCCAGGGTATCAGGGACCCCCAGACCCTCTGCCATTAGCTCCAATATTTCACATGCCAGCTCCCTCACTGCCCCTACGTATTCACTCACAGTAGACCTGTCAATGTACAACTAATTCATCATTCTCACTTGCCTTTCATAATCATACCGATGCCTTTCCTCCTCCCAAGCTTCAAGAAAATAGCCCCCCCCCCCCCAAAAAAAAAGGAAAGAAAGAAAGAAAGAAAACCAACAACACACGCATGCTAGTTCCATGAGTTATTTATGATTTATTACCACTCTGTTGCTGACTTTCTTCTTAATTCAACAAAACAATGACATGCATAGATTCTCAGTTTGAACAGTCAAAAGCAAAAGATACAGATACTTCGTCTTATTTGGACTGAAAGTTAAGTAAATAGTTATTGTTGAATTATTAATGAAAAATGACATATGAATGGTTTTTTTTATTTAACATTGCATTATTAAGTTCTTAGTCACAAGGCATACAGTTGTGCATTCCAGATATTTATTAGGGAAAATAATAATTAAATCTTAAATGATTGAATTAATGACACTTAGATTTCCAATAAATTAAAAAATGAATGATAATTATTAATTTAAATAATTACAAACAAAATTTTTTATTATAATTTAAGAGTTAATTTAATACTTAAATACTTATTTGTAATTTAAATTTTTAAATTTATAATTATTTAAATGAATATTTTTAACTTATTTTTTAAAAAAATTTATTAAGGATTTTACAGTCATTAATTTAATGTCATGAACGGAGGGATTACATGTGAAAGAACTAAAAGCTACTAACAGTTAAAAGCAACCACATTACTTATTTGAAAGCGGATAGGCTTTTTGAGCTAAGTCTGCCGGGAAAATATTGTGACGATGATTAATTAACTTTTTGGATTTTCATGTTTTATTTGATTGGACGTTGCTGATGTATCTATGACATGTCATTCTCCGGTTATTCAATTCAAACTGTACTTGAAATCATCCCCCAAAAATAATCTCTTGATCTCCAGTTTTTTTTTTTCTGAAATTTATTTTAAATTGAATTAGAATTTGTCAGAAAAACTGATTATATAATATTTAATAATTAAAAAATCCATATCACGATAAAAGCCAATTGATAGTATGAATTAACTAAAAATATATTAAAACAAATGAATAAATAAACTGAAATCATGAATGACTTGGGGGTGGATTTGAAAGAGGGCTGACATGACAGATATGTCACATTCAAAGAAAAGAGTAAAAGGAGGTAACATGTCTCTGACAAATACTATCCTCCCTCCTAGGACATCTTTCTTCCTCCATAGTCCCCATGTGCAATCTGATAGTGTGTGTGTGTGTAAATTAATATTAATTTAGGTTAATAATATTAAATTACTTAATTGTTGCATGTAAAAAAAAATATTATCAAATAACTCACGTTTGATTATTTTTTTAATTAATGTAATATTATTGAGCACAAATATTATTTCAAATTTTGCGAGCGCACAAAAAATCAAAATAAAAATATTTCATATAATTACATATGAATTATATTTATTTATTTCTAATAAGAATTTTTTTCTTTCTATTTATTATTTGTCATGATCTTGATATAAAATGGTCATCAACCAAAGCTGAATATATACTCCCTTCAATTTTATTTATAAATTATTTTTATTAATCTCATCAATATTAATATAATAAAAATATAAAAAAATAAAATTTAATAAAATTACAAGTATAACTTTCAAAAATTAAATAAATTATATAATATCATTTTTATGTTTCTCTCTCTTTCTTCCATTTTAAAGAGTAGTTTAGATATTTAATTTGAAATAAAATATTATTATCAATTCAATAACTTATAAAGTGGATCATTTCACCTTTTTAAAAGGTGATTAATAAAGTGAACAGGAAGGAATACTTCCTAAAGATTTTGAGAATTTTTCTGCAAAAGAGAATATAAGTAATATTGTTCTAATTGAAATCTCAACGATCTCCCCCAAAAAAAAATGCACCAATGTCATGCAAAGTTGTGTTTCAAAAATTAAAAATAATTCCAGATAATGTTAACGAAAATTTACAAAAGTTAGGATAAAGAAATTTGACATCCCAAAATCACAGCGGCAGATAAACAAAATATCAACCACTACGTCCACAAATGGAAAAAGATTAGAAATTTATGACCTTATAGATCCCCCAAGAATAAATAGGCAAAATATATTTGAAAAAACAAATATAAGCACGAAAATTAAATTCATTCCATCAATGACTGGCCATCGTTGCTGTTTGTTTTGCTCATACAAAGAATGGAGAGAGAGAGACAGTAACAAATAATGTTGGTGATTTAGAAAACAGTTTTCTCAGTTCTCACTCAGTTTGTGCGTGATATACTCACTAGTAATACAGGAAAGAAGAAAACCTTTGAACTGGAAAACACACACAAGAATCAAATGTAAAGTGTTCCAACTTTAATTCAATTTGCACTGCAGCTATCTTCATATAATAATTGAAAGATTAATAAATTCCTTATATTTCAAGTTTGATCGAATTGCTCAGAGTTTATCAGCTAAAAACACGGAGAAGTACTTCTTGGAAAGCATATCTGAGTACGTTCCTGAACATATTAACACGAAAGAAGGACACAAGATCGAAGGAAATGAACAAAACTGACTAAATAAACCAGCGGCCATGAGTTTCTGGTTGTGGTCCGATCACTTTCAAAACTTTCTGACTCTTTTTGCAGTAAAAGGAGAAATAATAAAGCGTGATATATATAGACCAAGCATGCAATAAATGTGAAAGAGTAATATGAATGAATGAATGAATGATATATTTACGTACCTGAATTTGGAAGGGTTTAGTTGGGAGATAGATGAGGAAGAAGGAGAGGCGTTGAGGAGAAGGTAGTCGAGGCAGCCGACGTCACCGCAGAAGCCGATAGTGTTGGAGCCATAGCCGGCGACGGCCTTCTTCTGAGCCACCGGTTTTGCGAAGAATGCGGCGGCTTCTTCTTCCATGGCGGCTATGGTGTGCTCCGGCACTCCATGCTTCACTACCTTGAAGAAGCCGTACTCTTCGCTCGCCTTAACTATCTGCTTCGCCACCACCCACCTCTCCTCCGACAGGTCCACCCTCGGAAGCTCTAACCCCACCACCATCTCGCCGCCGCTGCCGACCGCGTTTTATTATGTTCAATCTCTCTGTGTCTGTGGAACAAGGAGGAGATGGGAGAGGTTATATGAGTTGGATATATAAGAAGAACAAGTTGGTGAGGAATTAATGGGCTTATATCATTAAAAAAAAAAAAAAAGGAAAAAATCCGATAGTAGTGTGCGCGAGATATGGTTCCATGAATTACGTTATGGCAAAAGGATTTATATACACTTCCTTTGATCCTACTTAAAAGTTAGTAAGAGAAGAATTTTTTTTTATTTATAAGTCAATTTATTAAATTTTTATTATAAATTTTCTCATTTGATCTCATTGAATGTTAAAGGAAAAAAATGCATATTTAATTAAAATATACATATTTAATAAAAATAAAGTTAAAAAATTATTAACTTTTTAGATAGAATAAATGAGTGTTAAATTTTTTCTTGATTATAGCGAAACATGTCAAGACTGCTTTATAAATAGGATCAGTGGAGTAGTTCAATTAATTTTTCTATATATGCTGCATTTAGTGCCTTTTTTATAATTGTCAATAATAAGAACCGAATCATCATTTGAAACCAGTTTTAATGCTTATCATGCATATAAATTCTCAGAGCTTATCACCTATGGATTGTTCAAGTCTAAATTTATAATTTTTCAATGGGTATTTTTTAATTAAAAATTATTTTCTTGAATAACTGACAGTTGAGATTCTAAGATTGTCTTTATTTTATATTCTTATAAATTAAAATAATTTCTTAAAAAAATAAAAGTAAAAGTTATAAATTTGAATCACATAGATTATATTTAAACAATCAATGAGCTCTTAGTATTCATTTATGATGAGCATTGAAACTGATTCTCATTTTGTGTTGAGTTAATGACATTACATTTGTCTCTCGTAATTTTTTTTGTAAATAAATGATAACTAGGCCACGTCTATTCATGAATCTTTCATAAATTTTTATTTAAGGTAAAAGTTTTAATTTAAGGGAGAACGACAACTAAATACTTCTTAATTTAAGAAGGTTAATATCAAATCAGAATTTTTTTTAAAAGATATTTCAGTGTTAAAATATAAAAGGATGAGTGCTGAACTTGAGAACCTAATATGAAATCTTAATTTGATATTATAATTTTCTTCTCAGATCTGTGGTTGTCATAAATCTCAAGTTTCTAAACGTGAGCACTATTCATGAATCATAAATCTCAGCTCATTTATACATGTTTTAAAAAATAAACATATCATCTTTATAATTTGAATAAAATTACGACAAATTAAAGTTGCATCATTTGTTCTTTTTTCTGACATTTGTTCATTTACTTTTTACAGAATAAAGTAGATATAACTAAATCAATTTTGTTGACAATAATATATTTAAAATACATAATCTAATTATATATTTTTTGGTTTTATCATTTTATCTTTTTCATATTGAGTAAGAAGCGGGAAAAAAAAAACAACAACAACAAAGAGACAAGTCTTGGGTTTGGGAAGTCATGAGGACTTCTGTTAAACGTTTTGTTTTAACCTATAATTTTGTGATTCACATGGTACTATATATGTACCGGAGATTTTTATACCCTCAATGACTCATATTAAGTTATTAACTATACTATGTATTGAGGTTTGTGTATTATTAATTTAATATACTTGAGATTTTTGTTTTTAATGGATTAAACTACTAGAGATTTTGAGACTCTTTTTTTTTGTAACACAAATTAAACTCTAAATTTTTACTCATGCTTCATATCAGTCTTGTTATTCGAATTAAAGACTCGCGTATGGTTAATATAATTGAGACCGGCCGGAATTTAATTCTGTTGAATTTACATTCAAAAATATTATTTATTTATAAGTTACAATTAAATTAATGGCATGTGTATATTTACCTCAAAGAAATTAGTTTTTTTTAAGTGTTAATGAGTATCATAATCTTTAAAATATAACATGAATAACATCATGGACACTAAATTTTTAAAATATGCAAAAACATTTTTCAATATTCAAATTTTGAGTGCTTGAAAGCTCGTTGTTTAGTAAAAGAAAGCTGCCATTACTTTTGCAGTTATAGGATTTAGTTGCATACTAACGTGACACTCACTTTGTCCCTTAAAAATAATGATCTTTCTTTTTAACTTAATGTAAAGATTTTAGGCATTAAAGGTTTAAAAGTCAATGAAAGTTTTTGCATATTTCAAAAGTTTATGATTCAAGATGCTATTCATACAATAGTCATTAATCCTTTTTTTTTTTAATGAACCGCAATATCCAATTATAGTATAAATAATTTTGACCTCCTTCATAAATATTCTTTGACTCATGGCTTTCCACTATATTATATATAGATATACATAGATATAATTCAGGGCCCAAAAAAGGTTAAATATTAATTATAATTGGTCCCCTACCGCTGCTGCATTCACTGATACACACATTTGAAACGTTTTACGTTTCTCGCCACAAATAAAAACCAGGACAATTCTCATAATAAATAGAAAAGAAATTGCAACACTACTGGGTAAAAAATTACGTTTTTCGATCAATTCTTTTACAACGCACTCAAGATTTTTCTGGAATCATTTATACTACAATGCTTCCATTCTTTTTTTTTTTTTTTGTACTATTTATCGATGCTTGAAATTTCCAGAATTATGCTCAATTGATGTAACCTCACAAAAAAAAAATGGTCTGAAAAAAAATATTGAATAACTTTCTATCCTTTTAAATTTATAAAGGTCAACAGCTGTTCAGATGAAAAATTCTAATTATATTGATATTTAATTTTTACAAGTTATAAATAAACAAGAAAAACACCCGTACATTAATTGTACGGGAGTAACATAATTTAAATATACAGCCCAATCTATAAAAAAATTGTGTGTGAAATATGCAGTCAAATTAGCCAGTAGTTTGCTTGATATTGATATTTTAATTTGAATGAAAAAATAAAAAAATTACAATATATATACATAAAATTAATAAATAATTATAATATAATAAAAATAACAAAGCAGTTTTTTTTTTTTCCTATTTGCTGGAATAGGTGAAAAGAGATATGAAAGTTTGAGTATGAGTTTAAAAAGACATCTTTAAAAAGTTATTCCATTTGAATTGAATATGCTCAAATCCGATCTAATTATTCAAAATATCAGATATTGTATATAAGCCATCTTATTATTTTGAAATTTTTCTTAGATTTTTGTTTTTGGGTTACTAATTAAAATGAATGGAGTCATGCAAAGAAAGTACGTACGTGCTTAAACATAATGGGAAATGAAATGAAACAACAAGTGTTTTCTAAATGTGAGGGACAATGATGATGTGACCAAAAATATCGAAACCTCTTTTTAATGATTAAGGATTGCATTTTTTTTTTTTTGAGTAAAAGGCCAGGGAAAAACCGTGCAGATAGACAGATTAAATCATATCAGCGTACAAAATGTGACTACAACCAATAGGAGGACTATTAAAAATCTGAACAATTGAGTTGTCGGGAGAGGCTTGATGAGTCATCTAGTCTGCGCATTTGTTGGCCTCTCTGAAAACGTGATCAAAAGTGACAGTCCAATCGTGTATAAAAAGGTCTCTGATTTTGTTAATAGTTGCAACAAGTGGATGAGTATTAGAAAACTCATTACGTATGAGAGTAATTGCTTCAGTAGAGTCCGAGAAGACATTGACTCTATTAAACTTCTCAGCCCAACAAATAGTGAGTCCTTCAAGAATGCCCATAAGTTCAGCCGCAGTGCTGGGATGGTAACCAAGAAATTTAGAGAAACCTTTGATCTAATTGTCGTAGTTATTTCGAATGAGACCACCACAAGAAGCAGCCCCTTAATTGCTGATAGAGCTATCTATATCAAGTCTTACCCAATCTTTTTCAGGGGGAAACCATTGGGCCTTTTGGCAAATGGCAATTGATTGATACTAGAGTCTCCAAAATCAAAAAGCTAACAGTGCCACGTATAAATATGCGTAGCCCACTGTTCCAACATTAGATGCTACCTCGTCACGCCTGGTCTGTGGTACTAATACTCATCACCCCCTTTTCTTCCCCCCAAATTAAGTCCATGGGTCGGCATTTTAAGAAATTTAGGTATTAACCACAATTCAAATAAGAGGAGAAGGAGAAAATGGTGGAGTCCCATGAACCAAAATATCACGCTTGACTCCAATTTTATCTTCTCTGCTTCAACAATGCCAGACAAAATATGGATCCTCCTGCTTCAACAGAAGAAGTGGATCTGCTCAAAAGAAATATCATAAGGCTAGATAAGGAAATGGTGGACAAGGGTTAAGATTCCTCAGACCACCATACCAAACAACCTCCCATGTTTAAAGAAAACACAAAAAACTCCGGTCATCCTATAGATATTCAAGCTAATACAAGTAAGATTCATGATGCAAATGCATGGAAAGAGAATATGATCAATGGGATTAAAGCCTTTGAAGCTCCAATCTCATATAAAGACTCTCTCATTGGTTATAATGGCTATTTTAGGATTAATGAGGCTAGAGACATAAAATATATCAATGAAACTCTTGCTAAAGAACTTGAACAGGAATGGATACCCACAGAGATAACCAAAAAGCTAATAAAGAGGTTTCCAATGATACCTATCTCAGATCAAGAATGGAAAGATATCTGCCTTCCTTGGATGGATGCTTTAGTTATCAACACTCTTGGTATACAAATCCTCCAAGACCTCTCAAGCTCAGGTTAGCTAAGATATGAAATTTAAAAGACCTTGAATTGATTGACCTAGTAAATAACTACTACATTGTGCGTATAGAGAATACTGAAGCTTATAAGAGAATCCTCAATGGTGGACCATGGATCATTTTCAATCATTGTATTTTCGTTCAGAGATAAAATTCTCAATTCAATCCAAAATAACAATTCTTTAAGAAAAGTAGCCCTATGGGTTCGTTTATCTAATATTCCTGTTCAATCTTATGATAAGGAAATACTTTGAAGAATGGAAAATCGTATTGGAAAAACTCTTAAAGTATATGCTAACACTCTCTCGAATGTTAAGGTGAAGGATGCAATAGGAAAAATTGAAAGGGGGAAATTTGCTAGAATTAGTATTAAAATTGATCTACACAAAAAACTCATTCTAAGACTACTCATCAGGGATAAACTGTATAACATTGAATACAAAAGTATAAATCTAATTTGCTTCGGGTGTGGCTGCTATGGGCATAATAAAAAAACTGTCCTTTTAATCCCAAGCAATCAATCAAAAATAGAGGAGAAGTGTTTTATCCCAGAAAAACCAAACTCGAACCAATCTCTGAATTAGATTGCAGAACAAGGGATTTTGAACAAGCAAACAAGAAAAGGATCATTAGAAAAATCTCAACAGTGCATACTAACAGAGGACTGCGGTGAAAGGACGAAAGTCCAGCGTCATAATCACGCTTGATTTCTGAGATTTCTAATGGATACATCATCTGACCATAGAAACTGCTCACAACTCCCATACCAAGGTACAAACTTCTCTACCAAATCTCATTTTGATTTGCTTTCTAACCTTGATCAGGTCTGCAAAGGTGACAATGGGAATAAAGAGACCAGTATTCAGAATATTACACTTACAAAAACCCTTAAGATGAAGGTTGTCAGACAAGTATAGAGATGGAAGGATATATCTGGAAATAAATGAACAAGAGTAGAGGAAAGTGAGGGAGCAAACGGCGCTCGTATAGTTGGAGATTACACTGATAAGGGAAAAAAGAAGGTTTACACAACTAGGCCAAGTTTAATTAGGAAGGCCCACATATATTAAGTAAGGATCTCATTAAAAATAATGACTGTCAGCCTAAAGACACAATTAACAAGCCCAATAAACGATTCCATATAGTTGTGAAGGGAAATAAAAGAGAAGTCAGATAAAGTACTAAGCCCATAAACAAATCCTATATTACAAAGCCTATGAGTGAAATTGAAGCTAGAATTTCATTTTAACTAAACTTACTATTTGGAAAGACCCAAACATATTTAATAAGAATCTTGACATATCTTTAGAGCCTAATCTCGTCCCATTTACAAATCACGACCAGAATAAACCTCCTAATCTAGGAAAATCATCAAGCTTAGTTCCTAAAACACAATTCACTGATGAGGAAGGTATAGAAATTAATAGTCAAAATATGATGATGGGGACCTATAAAGGCAAGAAGATGCAAATTATATTGAAGATTATGCTGATGATGATCTCCTGTTTGAAGATTATGAGAACAGGCTAACTAACAATGACCTAGAAGATGATAAGTTTAGTGATAACTCAATCTCTGAATCCAATATTTAATTAGGTAACAGGTTCCTTCTATTTCTTTCTTCTATCTATTTAATTATGGAAATCATTTATTGGAATTATAGAAGAGCTTGTGCTAAATTTTTCCGGCCCATATTAAATAAATTACTAATAAATATAATACTCAAATTCTCCTTTTTGTTGAAACTAGAGCTAGTAGTACTAGAGCTGATCATATTGTCAGGAAGCTCAGTTTCTCTGGTTGGACTTGTGTTGAAGCCACTGATTATGCTGGTGGTATATGGATGCTTTGGAACAATGATGTGGTGAATGTTGATTTACTCCAATGTTAAAACTCTCCATTGTAAAATATATAACCTCACTAATAAGACCTCTTATCTTCTTTCTTGTGTCTATGGGGACCCTAATCCTTGCAATCATGATCAACTATAGAATTCTATTAGTGATCTTGCAACTATTATTTTTGAACCTTGGCTTCTAGTTAGAGAGTTTAATTTGTATCTCTCTTGTGATGATAAATGTAGCAGAAGTAGGTATAATTGGAGGTCTATGAATTTTTTTTAAAGAATGCATCAATTCCTTCAATCTCTTTGAGCTAAATTTTACAGGTGATAGATTCACTTAGGAGAAAGGTAACACTAAGAAAAGGCTTAACTGGTCCTTCTATAATGCTGATTGGAGACTTAAATTCAATCAAGCTAACTCCTTCTATCTCCTTAAATATGGCTCTGATCACTATCTGATTAGAATCCAGCTTGAGAATACGGATAATTCTAAAGCCCAAGAAAAACCTTTTAAATGCCATGCTACCTAGATGGTTGAAGAATCCTTTCAGTCTATTATTAAAGATTCTTGGATTAATAAAGACTGGAAAGAAGGGACCTTAAAGTTCCCTACTTGTGCCACTCAATGGAATAAAAATAATATAGGCAGTATTACAGCAAATAAAAAAAAAAGATTATGTGAAGATTTGAAGGAATTGATCATAACAAGAATACTAAAGAAAGCTACTTCCTTAAAAACCTTGAAAAATCTTTATGGGAGGACTATAACAAAATTCTTCTCCGGGAGGAACTTATTTGGTTCCAAAAATTTAGATGTAAATGATTGAATTGGAGAGACAGGAACTCTAAATTCTTTCATATTATTACCATCATTCAAAGGAAAACTAATTTTATCTTTACAAGATGAAATTGGTAACTGGATTCACAATCACTTCACACTCAAAAATTAGGCTGTTACTTACTTTGAGAACCTGTTTAGAGAGGATAACCAATGCAGACTAAAGCTAACTACCAATATAAGTTTTCCCACTCTAAATTCCACTCAATTATAGCTAATTCATAGAGATATTATTGAAGAAGAAATTAAAATTGTTACCTTTGATATCAATGCCTTTAAATCTCTTGGGTCTAATGGGATAAATGCTGGTTGTATTCAATGCTATTGGAGTGATCTTAAAGATATTATCTTTCAACTTTTAAGAAGGTCTTCAGAAATCCCATTGCAATTAATAAAATCAATAACACCTTCATTATCCTTATCCTTAAAAATGAAAGCCCTACTTGCATGAAGGACTTTCACTCGATTTTTCTATGCAATGTAAGTTACAAAATTATCACCAAGCTTCTCTCCAACAAGTTGCGATAATGTATGAATCACTTTATAAGAGACTATCAATATAGCTTTTTGCAAGGAAGACAAAGCAGTGACAATATCACCATCGCCCAAGAGATCATCCATTCTATAAGAAATAAAAAGAGGGAAGGGCTTTATGGCACTTAAGATTGACCTTGAAAAGGTTTTAGATAGACTCTCTTAGGATTTCATTGATGATACTCTTCTATTATCGGTCTTAATGAAAAATTTAGAAAACTCATCATGGCAACCATTTCTACCACTCGTATGAATAGTGAACTAACAAATGAATTCACTCCAACTCATGGCATTAGATAGGGAGACCCTCTTTCACCCTATCTCTTGATTCTTTGTATTAAATGATTAAGTCATAGTATACTTAATAGCATTGATGAAAAAGATTGGAAGCCTATTAGTCTAACAACTAACAGTCCTCTTATCTCTCATTTGTTCTTTGCTGATAACTTATTTCTTTTTTGCAGAATCTTTTCTCAATTAAGTGAGATCATCTAACAGTGTCTTTTTAACTTCTATAATGCCTCTGGATAAAAAGTTAACAATAGTAAATCCAAGCTATTTTTCTCCAAGAATGTTAATATAAATAGGGCAATTCATATTAGTAAAGAATTAAGAATTCCACTAATTGAAAATCTTGAAAAATACCTTGGGATTCCTATCATCCATGAAAGAGTTTTTAAGCTTACCTTTACTCCGCTAATTGATAAAGTTAACTCATGTCTTTCCAATTGGAAGAGTCATTATCTCAACATCACTGGGAAAGCTGTTCTTATAAAATATATTTTATCCTCTATCCCTAGTTACGTGTTACAAACTATACTCTTACCTGATAATATCCTGGCTGACACAGAAGCCTACTCTCGAGACTTCCTTTAGAATTTTACTGATGATACTAAAAAGCCTCATCTCTTATCTTGGGATTATATCCCTAAGGATAATAAGCATGGAGGCCTTAGTTTTAAAAAGATTAAAAGTTAGATAAGGCCTATATTATGAAACTCTGCTGGGTTATTATTATGAAACCTAACTGCCTATGGGTTCATGTTCTATGTGATAAATATAGATGCAACAACCATATCATCCCTATGGTATGTAAAACTAACTCTTGTAAAGTTTGGGGCCAATTTATAGCTCGTGTGGGTTGAAAGGTAGGAAAGGGGATCAAATATTATTTTGGTATGATAAATGGTGTCCCCTTCTTGAATCGCTTGTGAAGTACGTGTCTCCTAATGCAAATTCTATTCTATATGCAAAAGTTTTCAATTTTTGTTCTACTACAAGTACATGGAAGGTTGGCCAACTTCTTAGATATCTGTACCGTGATATTATCTAATAAATCGATACCATATGTATTAATAACTTATATTAGGATAACCTTGCTAATTTCATTTAGTTATTTATGTTTTTGTGTGTGTCTCTGTGTCTATATATATATATAGGAATGGAGTGATTAAGTGGTTGGCAATGTATCAATCCCCAAACTTGGTGCATCAATTTTATCAAGTTTCAAGTTTCTTAAGTTGATTATATGGCAATAGAGTGATATGATGACAATGACAACTATGCAAGTAAGTTCAATAGGTCATGCGTGTATAATTCACTTGTAATACAAACACATAAAAAACCATTAATATTATTGTTCATTCCAAACTATATCTAGATTATAGAACAATTATCACTAAAAACATGTATAAGAATTTTCCCAATTGTCAAAGATGCATAGAACCCAAATGCCCTAAGTTCATTATTGAGGTATTGGGATTAGATTTTTTTTTCATTTTCATAAATTATTTCACATATATACCATCATGAACTTCATCTCTACATCTGCTTCAATGGAGCAGTGGGAGTGTTTTTAATTCTAAAACGGTTGACATACAGGGCTATGTATTTACTATTATATGCTGAATTTATGTTTCAACATTGATAATTATAGCTGTATATTGAGAGGAATACTCTTGAAAAAATATAGTAAGGTATGGATGGTATAAAGAGTACTGACATGTGAAATAAACCAGCAGACTTTAATAGAACAAATGTCAAAGGGCTATAGCTTCTAAGTACTAATATAATATAATATTAATTTTAAGTATATATGAAATAATGGCTGCTTAATTGGCTAAACATTGTCACTCTATATGGTACTATAATTAACTTTAGATCTTAAGTTTTTAAAAAAATGAAAATAACTTGTTGATTCAGCTGTGGCACTGATACAGTATATGATCCAAGTATGAGGTTGATTAGATTACCAGAAGGAAATATTGCTTAAGTGAAGGTATGTATATTCCTACTCTAATTTAAAAATGTTCGTAAAATTTTTTGAAGTACCTATTATTGTAGCATGTTTTTAAATCTGCTTATAATAAGCTTATGTGTTTTTTTGTCATAGTTCTTCCAGAGGATCAAGTTTCCTATCCAAATATTCTCACTGGATAAATACAAGGGTGATTTAAAAAGATTGTGCTCGCAAAGAATAGGTGTAACTTGACTTCCTTTTTTCTTTGTTTTTTCCTATGTATATGTTTAAAGTAGGTAATACTGAAGGAT